CTATACTTTTTTAATTTTTTTTTTTTTGAGACAGCATTTCACTAAGTTTCCAGGCCTCAAACTCATCACCCTCCTGCCTCAGACTCCCAAAGGATTACAAGCATGTGCCACCACATCTGCTTAGAGTTCCTATGCTTCAGTCTCAGTCTTTAAAAGCAGAGAAGTTAAATGCCTTTTATGTCTCCAAAGAAAAGGTGTTTGTTTGGGGTTTTTTTGTTTTTGTTTTTGTTTTTTTCAATTTTTCTTGGTAGTCAATAGTCTTCAGTTAAGAAAAAAAAGTTGCACTTTGCTCCAGAGTCTAAGTCCCAAGGTGGGGGCAAGGAGAGGCACTGAAGAGGAAGGATGAGAGGAATGCTCAAACCAAATTGAGAAAACTATGCATGAACTCCAGCTTAAGAGACCAGGACCAGAAACCGATGGTTTTCTCAAACATGCCCAGGCCTGTATCCCTTGGCATCTTCTAGTTGTCCCAGGTATGCACTACCATGCCTTTCTCACATTTTATGCTTCCCTATCTATGGACAGCAATGGCCACTGTAACGGCTTCCCTTTTCTGATATGTGGTATGACTGAAAGATACAGTGACTGTTTAAAATTTCTAAAATTTTATTACAATTAAAGAGACATTGCCCTTAATCCCCCTTCAAATACTCCCCTCTCCCCTTAAACACACTTATCCAGTCATTTGTGCCACTTTCCGAAGCAGTTCTCTTTTGTGTCTTTAGTGGTACTGTTGTGGCTGCTTCAATGTCCTGAATCAATTCAGAGCATTGACCTTTCATGGTCACTGGGAGCCAGTGCTATCAGGAGGTGAGGGGAAGCTCTGGTAGAGATAAACAGAACCTGTGAAAACTGCATGGGAGAAGGATCCCCAAGAAATTGCTGTGAGGAAATCATTCCCAACCTAAGCTACACAAACATTATTGCTATTAATGGCATTATGCTATTAGTGTGTTAGCTATTTTTGATACTTCATCTGGATCTCTGGGATGAGAGCTTTAAAACGGTAGAACAAAAAGCGCTAATTTCATGTACAGAAACAAAGAAAAGAGTTGACAGCCTCTGTGCTACTCCACTGCCAGGGCTACAGGATGGGTGCAGAAAAGGGCAGGGCCAATTTTCAGGACAAGGACAGAAGTTGAATCTCTAGGGCCAGAAAAGAAGGGAAGGGCTTTTCAAGAGCGATCTGGGACTGGAGAAAAGTTTGGGAATGTGCCTAACACCCAGGAGGATATTGGTGCCTCACGTACAGGAGGAGTCCATTGCCTGCCCTCTCCCTTAATCAGGGTTGTTCAGAGAGGGAGTCGGAGAGGTGAAAGTGCATTTCCTGCCATTAAGTCTTACAAGGTCATCATATATACTTTCAGGCTTTTGATTTCATCGTCTCACTTAAAAAAAAAAAAAAACTTCAGATTTCATGAGGAAAAATGCATATTTTAAAGTTAGCCAGTACAAATATGTCAAGTTGGCAGTGCAACTATGTTCTAGTTCAGAAGGGGAGAATCAAAATGCCAAAAACATTCACTCTAATAATGAGCTCAGGTCATCTCTAGGGAATGAAACTAACCCTAAAGAACTCCTCTTGCCTCCCTTATGTAATACTTCCTTGCTTGCTCCTAATTTTCTTTCCTTCTCCCAAACTATATGTTCCTGTCCCTGTCCCTGTCCCTGTCCCTATCCCTGTCCCTGTCTTCTTGTATTTATCTTGATCTCTATCACCTTATCTCAGTCTGCCACCTGTCTGACTTGTCTGAACTACCACACTCGGAAAACACTTAATCTGTCTTTACCACCTGACTTGGCATCTTGCCTGACCTGAGGCCTCCCTGAACTGTCTGACTTTCAATCTCTTCTACTACTCACCTACGCAACCCTTCCCCCATCTTCACCTATCTCCTGCCTGACCTGCTACCTGCTGCCCTCCCTTCTTCCCATTCTCACCACCTGGATCTGTTTCCGGAGTTCAATGTGCTGCCATTAGTGTTCTAATGTTTGCCACACAATGTTGTCAAAATGTAGAAAAAGACAAAAAAGCATCGTCTTTTCATTGCAATGGGAAGGGAAACTGAGACACAGAATGATTACCTGGGTTTCCTAAATTCATCATAGGCCCAATCTAAATAGTAATTCAGGCCTGGCCTTGACAATCTGTGGATTGTTCTTGTTTGTTGTGTTTTGTTTTGTTTTGTTTTGTTTTGTTTTGTTTTGTTTTGCTTTGCTTTTGGCACAGGGAATCAAACTCAGGACTTTGCACTTGTCAGGCAGGCGCTCGTGCCACTGAGCTATATCCCCAGCCCTGTTGACTGTTATTAATTTTGTGCTATTAACTAAAAAGTTAGTGCTCTAGGAAGAAGGGATTGCAAAGTCAATAAACAGACACTTAGTGCACATGCCCTGAGTTTAATGTAAGTTCCAGGTACTTACAGCACAATAATATTGCTGGGAATAAAGTAGTGGTTAGGGTTATATTCCATACCAATTAATTTTCCAGATAACTGAAACATACTTTTCTCAATAACAAAAAGTGATTGGCTTTAAAACAGTATATCAAATGGGAATACGCTAAAACACTTTACATGCTATCCTGCCTCAATTAACAGAGTAAATGAAACCTAATGAGTCAAGGAACTTTGGTGAGGCACTAAGTAATGCTTTCAGGAACTTCTAAGAATGGAGCCTTCAGTTCGTCCTTCCACTGAATGACCTCATATGGTGGCACTTTTCCAGGTGATGTTTCCCTTTTCCCTTGCTATCTTTTCCCTTGTTGTTAGCTGCCATTATTGAAGTCCTGACTCCCCATTTCTAAGCTGCTTTCTGCTTTAATGCAGGAAAGCTATAAATGAAAACCATATAACTAAGCTTGCTAGATCAAGAATGCTGACTTAAAAAAAAAAAAAAAAGAATGCTGACTAGATACCTGAATGTGGGTTTATGATCTCATATAGAATATAATACATGGGTTGTGTGACATCTGTTTTTGTTGCTGCTCCAAATCTTTGCCTGCTCATTTCTGGTTTTGCAGTTTTATTTCCAGTGGTTAAAATCACCAGACTGGCCACCGTGTAAATGTGCAGTATGAGAAAGGACTAGTGACATGGACCTGTGTCTTGGAAATACACTGAAGGACTTCACTCTGGCTGAAGAAACAGAAGGAGACAATAATAGGGATAAACATTTATGAATTAAATCCTTGAAATATTTGAGGGCTTCAACTGCTTCAAGATTATGCAGACTGGTTTAATAGTAATAGATCTTTTGGGGCTGGGGATTTAGCTCAGC